GTATATTATTTTCCTTTCGTATTTACCTGATTTAAAAGTTGAACGTTGCGATTCTTATTCAGGCGATTTAAATATTGTACAGTGCGATTCTTACTTACGAGATTTAAAAAATCAATATCGCGATTTGTATTTACGAGCTTTTAAAGCCCTATGTAGCAATTCGTATTCACGTGAGCTTAAAATCCAATATCGTGATTCGTTTTTGTGGTTGTAATATCGCGCGATTTAAAAATTATGCATCGTGATCAAAAAATTAAAAAATCATGATTTGTATTTTCGCATTTTTTAAATTCGATGTAGAGTTTCATATTTACGTGATTTAAAAGTCTCATATCGGGATTTATATTCACATGGTTTACATGTTTAAAAATCGCACTTTTTTGTCAAATTTTTGTATGTATATATATATATATATATATAATATTTTTTTTCTTTTTTGTTTTTTTTGGATTTCCTCTTTTTTACTTTCTGACTACTCTCATCCCTGTATAAGGCAGAGATGTTTGTTTAATTTACACTTGCTCAAAATTCTTTACAGGAATGATTTTTTAGGATATAAAACTATTGCCCTGTATACATTTGATTGATATTCCTTTAAGTGTTTTTTTAAAGTTAAGTTTCACAATTTGATATTCCCTACATTGATGTTTTTCAAAGTTAGTGCAATTGCCCCATATTAACTAAACTGAAGTTTTTCAAAGTGTTAAAGAAAAATTTATTTGTCATAAAAAATTTGATTTATTGAATAAAGAAAATGTTATTTTTTGTTTGATTATCAACTTTGTACCATTAAAAAAAGAAAGAGGAAAAAAATTATCTTTCTTTCTCTGTGATTTAAGTTTCTTTGACTACAAGATTGATTTAGGTAGTTTGACTGAAACAATCCTGATTTATTAAAATTGATGACTGAATGGATAAATAATCAACAATGGATAAACAGTAAATATTCAAAGCAATGAAACGAATAAAAAACACATAAAAATGCACTTAAATTTGCATTAACTATAGTTCAAATCGGAATTTTGAAACAAAACTCACGTTCAAGCCAAAATAAAAATGACCTTTTCAGCATGTCAAATTTTAACTCCATTGTTGCATTTCAACTGACTACAGATCGACTAAATATAGCATTTACCCCTAACAAATAATAATTCTCGAACTAACTTTTGAATATTCAGTTTTTTTATTCTGTCGTTCTTTCTTCTTGGATTTTTTTTTATTAGTTGCCAAATATGATTCTCTACAAAATTAAGAAAAAAAGAATTCAAATATTTCCAGTGCATGCACAGTATGAAAGATTTATTTTAATTGCTCATATTTTGCACAGTTTTAAATAAATTTTTCTCAAATTTTAAAGCAATAATTTTCTAACTAATTTTTATATTGCCCTAAAAATTTTGTTTTATTTTATTGAATATTTTTTAGTTATAGCAAAAAACTTAAAATAAAAAAGTCAGTTTTTTATAAAAATGTCCTTATCTCCATAAATATTTAAGCAAGACTTATGATTGTATATGATTTATTATTGCAAATAATTACCAAAGTAATTGCTATGAGTTACAAATTTATTGCTACATTTTTCGGTATGGGATGTTCAAAAACACTATTTTCTGTTTGTAACTTATTGTAGACCTATCAAACTTCATTGATTCATTCACTTTAAACTTCATTGATTAGTATGAGAAATCACATGATCTAAACACTTTTGAAATTATAAAGTTATTTTTTAAGTATTTCTTGAGAAATATCAAAATATGTATTACTATGGAAATGTTTCCATTATTTTGTCCACCCCCTGTAAGTTATTAGCATTAAACTGAGAACTAAATACTTAAAATTTGACTCTATTAAGTTTTCGGGTAACAGCTATAAAGTCTAACAGGGAAAAATGTTAAAAATGCTTTGGGGGGATTATAAATTTTGTTGTTAAAAATGCTATGGGAGAATCATTTTTAACATAGTTTTTAACTCTGTCAAAAACTCTTCTCGAGCTATTTCACTTGAACTTTTCCTCAAGTTATTAGATGGTTAGCTTTTAGTTTAATCATTACTATCAAAAATGTTTTCTTTTTTTTTTGAAAAAAAAAGGAGGAAAAAAACAATTTTATGTACAATTTGATTGAGTAAACCAGCTGTTCTAATTTACTGACTTTCCACCTAAAGTTACTTTTTGTATTCATGATATAATCTATGAATATAAAAGAGGATTTTTTTTAAATTATACTTCGCTATAATGGATGCTTGATAATTTTTGATACAAGAAATATGATATTTTCTTATCATAGTCTGAAAGTGTGACTGCTGAATAACATTAGTTCATTTCTTAATGACATTTCTTAAAAATTTTAAATTTTATTTACTGTTTAAGTAACTGCTTCTGGTAAATGCTAAAATTAATCTTTCATAGTGGTAAATTTTTGCAATCGTATATAGTTTTAGTCCATACTCGATTCATAAGAATTTATATCATAGTTCCTTTCAATAGGTTTTAACTAGGCTTTTGAGGCATTTCTGTAAATTCATAAATATTATATTTTTATCTGTCCCTTAACCATAAGCATTGATTATGTAGATGGATTGTGACTGCTTATTCTTTTATCACATTATAGAATCCTAATTATATAGGGATTTTGATTTAAATGTCTGTGTTACAAATATTTTTCATTGTTTAATATTTTAAAATTAAATCTTTTTTAGAACAAGGGGAAAAAAACTTTATGAATAATATTCTACTACATAGAAATGTGCTTTTACAGATCAATGTTTAATTTATTATTCATATTTCTAACAAAATTATTATAAAAGATTATAATTAACTTCTTTTAATAAAAACTCTCATTTCATATCAATTCTGATGTTTTAAGTGCATGTATGTACACTTCATCAGGTCATAGATATTTTTGTTTTAATAAAAAGTGCATATGGTTGTTCAAAGTATGTCAACTTCATTTGAATTTATATAATTGATGAAGGTTTTTATTAATCATAAGTTTTTGATTACATTCTTCCTACTACAGTGTTAAGTCTCATATCTGGAATCGTCTGAACTTTGACAAATTCGTAAAATAGATTTCTCCGAATAATAGGTCTTTAAGGTAAACAATAATTAAAATATCCTTATCAATAAAAAAAAATTATGTAAAATGAATAACAGCAATTTCAATCAACAATGTACAAATCCACAAGGTTGCCCAATTTTTCAGCTTTTGTTACAGAAACATACGGCAAGAGAACAGATTTCACAGATCAGCAATTTTTTACAAACTTTCTTTAAAATGAACTTTCTAGAAGGGCATTTTTTTATAATTATGCTTTATGTATCACCATATGTTTTTCATGCCTTTTTTTGGATAACTGGTTTGACTTTTATTGGTTTTTTTTTTTCAAAGTTATTTAGTTCTGTTAAGAAAAAATTTGAGTGTATTTATGCTTATGTATCTCTTTTTTTTTTTTCCTTTTCAGAACAATGAAAATGATTACTCTACCTAGTATACCTAAGTTACGCCACTTCACAAATGATACTTTAATAGATATCTTACTGTATAGTAGCCCTTCATACTGTCAATCAATTGTGGATACTGTGACGCAAGAACTCAATAATTTGTATGAAGTTTTCGTATCCCGTAATCCAGCATTTTGTGGAAAAGTGTTTGTTGCTGGTCATAGTTTAGGTAAGATGTAAATAGTTTCAAATTTTACGTACACTGAGCAGCCATTTTATAATGATTATCTTTTTAATATCTCTTTTGGCTACTTTTTTTCTTTCAATGCAGTTTTTATTCTTAATATTTACTATGCAAGGAGTTGTTTCCTTGTTTGTGGGATTCCAATAATTTGAGAGTATGGTGCCATAATAGGCATATTTCCTAGCTTTTTAAAATTTCTTAAATTTATTTCTTTTAATTATTCTTAATCAAATTTCAATTAAATTAAAACAATTAGTTAATTTTTATTAAATTTTTTAAAAAGCTAATATAAATATTTTATTTACTTAAAAATCAATGTAATGACTAACTTTTTATTTCAATACTATTATAAAAATCATTAATTTACTGCCGTGACTAATTCGAAAATAAAATCTATTTATAATTCTCTATTCTTCGTTTTTCACCACTTAAATGTTTCAGTTACATGGCTATACTATTTTTCACATTTTTGTCATCACATATGATTAGCCATAGCCAAATTGTTTTCAAATTTAATACTTATTACGAGGGGTTGCTTTGTTTTTGGCTATTGTATCTTTCGTTAAATCGCCAACCATGGATCTTTTCCCATGCTCCTAAATGTTCGTTGGGAACAATTAACTTTACTTTTAATTTTGAATTCTTGGCATTGAGACTGGAAGGCTTTGACCTCTCAGCCTCAACCATTGAATTTTTATCTTTACAGAAATTCTTGGTGAAAAGAGAATTTTTCTCTAGATCCCTTAGAGAAGCAGCATGCAAATGAAATTGAAGTTCAACCTGAATATTTGAATGCTGTAAGTTTTTAATCTCTGTGTAAGAAAAATTAGAAATGGAAATTGATTCAGATTCTTATTATTTGATTATTTATTTGCAAACATTGAATAGTTTTCTGTTCTGGGCAACCCATGATCAAAAAAACTTCCATTAAACTGTGCAACTTTTTTAAAAATAGGAGTTCACTAGCCGGCATATGTAAAGCTAGAATTATTAATTTCAAAAATTGACTGTGCAAATATTTTGGGGTGTTCTTGGTTTGAACCTTTAGAAATTTCAATAACTGGTGTAAATGAAATTAAAATTTGAATTATTAGAATAGTGGTTAAAAAGTGAGATACCTTTGATGGTAAATAGGACTCATATACAGGTAATCCAGTATCTCTTCCTACAAAGTCTGTTATTGCGCCTGTTCGATGTAAAGCAAGAAACGTTTCTTGGGCAACGAGGCCCAAAATTGAAGCTGCGCTGCCCTAGCGAAACTTAAAAGTGAAGGGGTTATTGAAGAAATTTCTAATCTAAAATGGCCAGCCCTGGTTGTTCCACTGATTAAATCGTTGGGTGAAGTAGGTTTGTGCAGAAATTATAAAATCATCTTAAGTTGGAAAATGTAAACAAACAGTAGTATCATTTCCTGTTGTGTCTCAGCTAGAAGGAAGTCAATGTTTTTGTATTTAGTTATGTTTCGCTTTGTGTAGAGTTAAGTTCTTCTCTTGAAGGATTATGTTTAGATTTGTTGAGTAGTTTTATTTCTTTATATTAAAAGTTTTTATCTTCAATAAACATAGTTGCTCAGTTTTCTGTTAATTGAATTCTTCATTTATAATAGATGTCTGCAATGTCTGAAACTTAATAAGTTAGCTCCCATTTTCTTCAACAAAACAAAGCAATGAGTGCTCATCTTTATCCGATTCCCACACTAAATCACCTCTTTTCAAATCTTAATGGATAAGGTTATTATGCTAAGATAGATTTGTACTTAAAGTACATAGTACTTAAAGTTAGATAGTACTTAAAATTATCGGTTGGTGATGCTTCCGCTGAAGCTCAAACTATTATCACTCATAAAGGTGTCTATAAGGTAAAAGGGATTCAATATGGAATTAACATAGCCCCAGGAATTTTTCAAAATTTAATTGAAGATTTGTTTAGAAATTTAGAAGGAGTTGTTACTTATTTTGATGATGTGCTCATTCGAGGAAGCTCTGAAGAAGAGTTAGCTACTTGTTTCAAACAAGTACTAGAGCATTTGAAAAGAGCGGATCTTGAAACAAATAAGAAAAATGATTATTTGGGGTAAATGAAGTAGATTTTTTGGGCTACTGTGTCAATGCAAAGGGCATCCATCCTTTCAAAAGTAAAGTAGTATGTTCAAACGTGTGGTGGCTATTAAAACATGATACAGTTGCATTATAAACCAAATCATAACTTCTTGGGCATTGTGCATATCTTTAAAAATAAAGAAAAATCGCAACTTTAGTAGTACTTATACTTCCCCTAATGATAAACATTTAAAGAGTTTTGCTAGCTTTTACTTAAGTTTCAATTTATAGTGAGTGAGGTAAAAGCATAATCAATGGGACTATTCGACTGATTGGACAAACTATTTCCAACATATACACATATAAAATTTGATTAAAAAGTAAAATTTTTTCATCAGAAACACATCATCGGATACGTCGCACAGAATTTTACCATGTCATCGAGCACGGAGTTAACACAAGTGTTTCAAATAACAAGTTATATACCAAATAAATTATTAAAAATCATTCAAATAATTCTTAAATAAATGATAAATTAATGTATGCAATCTTACTTAAAATCAGAAATTATGTATTTTGATAATTTTCATCATAACTTTTCAAAATTGTGCCGTGTACAACTGTGCGCAATTCAAATGCAATACAATCACAAACACATTACATTAATAAATACCTATTTAAAATACTCGAATTTTATACATACCAAGTTATTAAGAGCCTAAATATAATAAAAATAAGTTATCAAAATAAAATATATTGATGAAAAGAATCTGCCTAGGCACAAAATTGTACCATGTAGAACAATTGTAATCACATCCCATCACTTTATCATAATTTGATTTGAAATACCTAAATATAATAAAATCAAATGAATAAACAGCTAAAAATCCTTACAATAATTCAGAATAAATATTAATAATTAAATAAAGTAAAGTAAATCTTGTTTTGCTTAAAATTGTACAACACAAAAAAGTCGTGAACGCACCGCAATTCTTTTTACTAATTTTTTAATTTCTAAAATTTTACCTATCAAATGACAACCAGCTAAAAACCTTTTTAAATGATTTTTAAAAAAGTTTTTATAAAAAATAAACAAATGATCTTGTTGCTTAAATGATCTATCTCAAAGGCCAAGTTTATCCTCACTAGTTTATCCTAAGGTCAACTTTATAATTTTTATTCTCAGAAATATAAGACTTAAAAATTGTTGATATTCAAGTACATAATGAGGACGTGGCTAAAAGAAGAATGCGGGAACTGCTTTATTAATTCTATATTCAACGTTTATTTTTACAATATTTAGCTGTTTAATCATTAGATTTATTTATAACTGGGTTATTAGAAAAATTGTTATAAAAGAAATAATGCATTCACGATCATTTTCTACTTTAATTTTATTCAAAACGGATTTATTTGTTCACTTTTTATATCTAATTTTTAAAAATTATTTTAAAGGCTTTTAGTTGTTTATCATTTAAATATGGGTAAATGATAAATTATTTATAAATGAGTACCAATAAATTTTAATTATTTAGGTGAATTATTCTGAATTTTAATTCTTTAATATTTCTTAACTTTGTCTGGAAAATTTTAATAGTTTAGATCAAGGGATTAAATTTTGAAACATTTGTTAAATTTTGATTTTAAATTATTCCAGCAAATATGTTTAGGATAATTCATGCTGTTTTTTATGCGGTTAAGTGTTTTACATATTTACATCGCTATTATCGCGAAAAATTTGTGTCTTATTATGCTAAATTCTAATCTTCAGTGTTAGTTTTGTGTTTGAATTTTATTTAAAACCCATAACTTGGGGAAAATGTGTAATATCAGAATATATCAATTTGTCTATTATTTGTGTCAATTCAGAGATGGCGCTGCTTTCGCATTGCTTTTGGTAGTTACCTCCTTACCTAAAAGGAGTCATTCTTGACGAGTAAGATTGTCCAGCTTAAGACCATTTGTTTTGTTTTCCTAATTTTTAATAAATCTTATTAAGTTTAATTTTGGAGTTTATTCAAAAAGTCCATTTTCACCAAACCACAAATACTACATTATGCATGTTTTTTTATTTGTTCATCTTAAAGACCTATATCCGTAAAAACTTATTTTCCTGACTTGTTGAAATCTTGATGATTCCGAAAATGGGACTTTCCGTTGTATTAAAAAGTACTTGATAATGAAGTATCAAAATGTATGCATATATATAGTATATACTCATATTTATGAATATTAATTCAATATTAATATTTTTAGGTTCTTTGATTCTTTTTGATATTCTTTCGAACCAAAACTTTAATGATTGCAGCAAAGAAAGTGCAAAACCTGAAGTTCTTGAAAGCTTTGAAAGTAACCAGCAAGACTTAGAAAGCTTTGTAGATATTGAGCATCTTTTAAGAACTTTGAATTTGGAAGAATATTTAGATGCATTTAATGAGGAAAAAATTAGTTTATCAACACTGGTGAGGGTTGACTAAAAAGTTTTTCTCTTAAATATTTAGCTTCAACGAAATTTTAAAGTTCTTCGTCTTTATTTTAGCTCTTTTTATCAGATGAAGATTTGAAGAACATAGGCTTACCTACTGGTCCACGTCGAAAATTGATGAATGCTGTTAAGAAAAATGTATGCTTTTTTATATATATATATATATATTTTTAATATTTTTTTTTAAATATTTTTTTTAAATCATAGCTTTTAATGCATGACATACTTTGCATTTGCTAAAAAATCCAATAATAGCAGTAAAATTTTAATTTTTAAATGTTATTTTAATAATGCTTTTTTTAAAATTTTATATTTATCTCTTAAAATGAGTTTAAACCTTTCAATATGGTTTATTTATTGGATTATATACAATCATATGGTTATAAATTAAGTATCTTAAATTACATTAACATATTTGCTAAATTATTTTTTAATTTTTTCCTATATCTTATGTAGTTAGCTTTTGTGGCATTTGCAAGTTTTGTTTCATTTGTTTAAAATCATTACATATGTTTATGCTTTATTTGAGCATTTCTTTTTTATCTGTTTGACCTTTCACATAAAAAAGCAATATTTTTTTTAGAAATTCTTTGATGAAATTTCAGCTACTGGCTTAATGAAAATTTATATGAAATTGAACACTCAACTATTGTAATGTTACTGTTTAAGAAAAATTTCCTGATATATGTTTACTTTGTTTATATATATTTCTTTTTATATTGTGTGCTACAAATTTATACATACCCTACAATTTCTGTTAAATTTAATTTCTTATGTTCTTCATTAAAACTATTAAAATGTAAATTAAATAAGTTTTGAATTGAAAACTTATTGCGAAATTATGCACACTCATCATGAATAACAGTTTTAATTTTGCTATTTTCTCCTAAAATATTTAATGGCCACATGATCAACCATTTTATTGATTCATTTAGCATATTGCTAGAGAGTCTTTTTAATGTTTCTAAATTTACTTAAATTCAAGCAAAATATTGTTAGTTTTATTTCATTCTTGTTGTCGTATGGATAACAGTTCACTTAATTCATTTTCATCCAACTACTCTAAAATTTCTTGATTTGATTCGAGCAAAGGGAGTAAGCTGATCAATCCATAATTAAACTACATTTTTATGTAGAGCTAGCTGCTAGTGCTTGCACTAGGTATGGATGTGTTGTCTTGTTGCAATACAATTTCAGATTTCCTATTCTTCTTAAAAACATATCATTAATATCAAAAACATATTAAGTTCGTCCTGTTAAGAACTTCTGACAGTAGTCCTTGTTATCCATTTTATGTGAAGTAAATGCTAAATTTAGTTTACCTTGTTTACTGTAGGCTCCCCAAACCATGATGCTTCCTCAGGAAAAAAAATTTCTTTCGACAAATCTCTCAAACAATATGAGTATCCATCTGGGCATTTTTTAATTAAATTTTTGGTCACTAAAAATAACCTATAATGAAAATTACTATTTTGAGAATAATGCTTTCATTGCAACGAAAATTGTTAGTTCAATATTTATTAGTGACTAATAATTATTCATGTTTTTTCTTTTCAAAAATTTAATCTTGTGACTATATGATGTGGTTTCAGACTTCCCCTTTATTGTCAGAGAACTGAATCCTTTAAAATATCTAGATTGAATTCTGTCCATACTTCAAGCATTGATTTATTTGACACTGTTTGAATAAATTTTCTTTCTTCTTGACGAAAAAGTTTTTGAGGATGTCCTGTATATTTATTCAACACTGAGATATACTGTTTAGTTAAAATGTAAATTTCACCGATTAAATGTTTTAGAATGTACATATATCCTTTACATATACTTTAAAGTGCAGTCATCTGACCTTTCTCTGGATCAGACAGCTAAGTTTCAAAGGGCATGAAATAAAATTGAAATGTCAGCATCAAAATTCTTTTGCACCTAATTTCAATATCAAAATAAGAGCAGAATATATATTTTTTGTGACATTTTTTTTTCCAAACTTATTTGATGCAGCTGAAATCAAAATAAATAACTTGCAGTCTCACATGAATTTGTAGTAAGTAATTTTTTTTTTTTAATCTAATAAATTACGAGCAACTTTATGTTCTAAATTTCATCCATTTTTGCTCCGGATAGTCACGTGCTATGAAAAGTGGATACTTTTTTATAATCGTAAGTGTTCGGCACAATGGTTGGACAAAGTGGAAGTGCCAAAACACACCCAAATGCCGAGTATACACCAAAAGAAACTAATGGTGTCTGTTTGGTGGTATAGCGCGGGTGTTATTCACTATAGTTTTATGAGACCTGGGCAATAGATAACGGGGGATCTCTACTGTGAACACTTCGAAGAAATGATGAGGCAGCTGCAAATTAAGCACCCGAGATTGGTCAACAGGGACAGTCCATTCCTCCTGCAGGACAACGCTTGACTGACCACACATTGCAAGATTGACGTTAGTTAAAATACAGGAACTGGGCTGGGCTTAGAAACCTTTCGTCACCCACTGTACTTGCCAGATCTCGTGCCAACTGATTACCATTCTTTTCGAGCTTTGGACAATTTTTTGCAAGGTAAATTTTTAATTGGCAACATGCGGTGGAAAATGCATTTCGGGATTTCATCGCCAGCTGCTCTTCAGATTTTTTCGCTAGTGGTATTAATAAGCTATTGTTAAAATGGCAATGTTGTATTGATAGTTTAGGTGCATAGTTTGATAAATTATATTATTTCTTGCCCGAGATATAATAAACCAAACTTTCAGTCTCAAATCGGACGTTTCATACTTAATGACCCTATATTATCAAAATGCATTGTATACAATACTAAAGAGGCTTGTAGATTAAAATATTTTTATATTATTTAGTTTATTTACATTATATCAAAATTATAAAAATATAGTTATATAAGTAGACAATAAGAGGCCTAATTTTTTACTTTGAGCAGCTATAAATATTAGCACTTGAGTATGAAAGTGTATTAAAGGCTAATTCAGAAATATTAGAGCTTAATACACAGATATGATTTATTTTCTATAGTTGCCTTTATGTCTTTATGTTGTCTAGTGTATGGTGCAAAATTTTAAATAATATCCATGGCTAGGACTTACGCCAGTATGGCGACCAATGTTGGTGAAATCAGCAAGTAGGTGACAAAATTGTCTTGAAATGTGTTTTGAAAGTACAAAATGGTAATGAAAAATAGTTTTTTGCATCGAATGCAATGCATTTAAAAATAATTGTTGTACTAGTTTCATTGTTCTACGTGTATGTTAGATTTTAGTTTTAAAATTTTTCAAGCGGAATAATTGAAAGTGTCTGGTAAAAAAAAATTTTCATTTAAATGTTGCTATTTCTAATTTACAGGTTGTACTGTGTTTTGCATTCATGTACTAACAGTATAATTATTCATCAATAAAACATTGTTATTTGCTGTTTTAGAATTTGCTTTATTTAGAATTTTATAATTTTCATATAATTAATTTTCAGTATAATATTTAGCTATTTCTTACATTTTCTGTTTTCTTCATTTATTTAGTCTAAGCATTTTAATCTATATGTTGAATCTGTTTACTAATATTATTCTAGCTTTTTTTTCATTTAATTTTATTAAATACTAAATATTATGGGGTGGTGAACCTAATTAGTTTTGTGGTGTAATAAATGGCAACTACTAATTTTGATATATACCATAACATTAATTATGCAATTGTAAAATTCGATTTTTACCCCACCAAGTAAGTTAGTCTAACATATTAAGTTTTTGGACCTCTAAACGAACACCTAGGTGGTTTTATTGGACCACTAAATTTTCCTTACTGGTGTGAACCCTATGAATGACAGTACTTTTTTGATTTATTAGGATCTTCTGAATTATTTATTCTGTATAAGAAACCTATTACTAATTTTATGCATTTTTACATATTGATTGTTCTTTGTCAGAATCATTACTTATAGAGTTTACACTTATTACTTCGTCGATAAGTGGGAAAGTTCTTAAACAAAAGTGCACTTTCTTCAGTTTTGGAAGGATTTTAAAGATTAAAATTTGTGGTAAAAATTATTAGCTTTACTTTTTCAATGGGATGTAATAGCACATTTTAATTATTATATTTTCAAAGTATAAACATTTCATTTTAGAATTTCATTAATTTTTTTCAAGTTATGTGGGGCATTTATCCTTGATGATCATGTGCAATGGTTTAAAAATCATTTTGCATTCCTTTATCGAGTACAGTAGTGGTCGTAGCTGCAACCAACCCATTTTATGTATGCTCAAAGGAGTTCAAAGAAAAACACAAAATAAAATAACTTCAATCATAGCTCTTTTATTTAGAGTTTTTCCTTGTCGTTTAATTTTATAGTCTTAAGCAAAGTTGTGAACTTTTCAGTTTTTAACTAAATACTCTATTCAAAAAAATTTTAAGGGAAAACAAATGTCTTTAAATTATTTTATAAGAAAATTATTTTTTATGACTAAAAGAAAAAACTTGAATAAAGCACAAATGAAAGTACATAATATACTACAGTATAGTAGAAAATACATACTATAGTTTCACTTCTATAATCAACTACCTACTTCAGTGTCTAAACCTCAAGTAAAAGAGAAACACATCTAAAGTGGTCTAAACAATAGGGACAGTTCATTCAACACTGCTCTTCATGTTCCAAACTTGATTTTTTTGAGTCATTACTTTTTTTTAAAAAAATTCTAATAATTCAATTAATGAACTTTCAAGTATCCCATCGTTTTCCAATATTTTAAACTCCATTTTCACCTAAACTGTTTGCACCCTGGGGTTCCCACTAAATTTCCTGACACCTGTCTCTTATATTCCCATTGTTATTTTCTTGTTCAGACTTGTTTCTCTGTCTCTATTGGTTAAGCTACTGTACTCATGTTTGTCTCTTTACTTCTCTACCTTCTTTTGACGTTTAGACTCTGAGGGATGTTCTTGTTTATGAAACTGAAATAATAGTATGATATTTGCTGTACTTTTGTCTGTGTTTTATCCACATTGCTTTTGCTTTAGTTACATATCACTAAGTATTACCCTTTCCTTTGTTGAATATTTTTTTATGATTTAATGCTATGTTATTGAACTTTATGATCATGAAAAATAAGATTTACAAGTCCAAACACTACCTTTAATGATTGTCGATCAGAAATATTGTGTAATTCCTTTTTCAATTTCTTTTTTTTTAGCGCTTGAGCCTGGGACAACAGGACATTATATCTGCCACATTAACAGTAAAAAATACAAGTTTTTCAATGTCATGGAATCATTATAAACTCTGAGCTCGCCCATACAAAATTATTTCTAGATTTTTTTCCTTAAAAAAAATAAGTTATTCCATTGTTTTTATAAGTTGCATGTCTTTTCCAGAAATAGTTTCATTTTTCATTCGTCACTGTATGCTATTGTATTATCATGGTTATTCTCATTAGTTTTGGATAATGAAAACGTTTAAAGCTAAAATATAGTGTAAAATATGCAAATTGAAATAAAAGGTAAAAATAAGCATCAGAAAAAAATAATTGATGCTGATAAAGATTTACAACAAATAAAAAAAAAATTATTAAATATATTTTTATCCAGCAGAAATGCATTTTAACAATGAAACGATATAACAGCATAGGCATTTTTTGTTATAGAAACAAATTCAGTCAGTTTTTTATTCACTAAACTATGTTTATTTTTTGTTTTCTAAATAAAGAGATAAAGAATGTTAAAAAAAAAATACAGTCAGACCTCGATCTAAGGTCATCCGCCTATAAGGTCACTTTTCCAAAGTCCAGGCTCACTGAATAGGAATTCTTTGTGGCAGATTATCAGATATATGGTCAAGTTTTAAAAATCGTTATCGCTTATAAGGTCATTTTTATCTGAGGCGAGGGAAGCTCTTTTCTAACAAAATCCTATTTAACTTCCTTACAAGGCAATTAACCCTCTCGAGTTCTAGAAAAATGTTGCAGCCAAGGAACAAGCTACAATTTCTGAAATTGTTTCACAAGTTGTGGACAGTGATTACAATGACAGTGATCCTGAGACTATAGCTGTAACCTAAGTGGAAGCCTTCAATGCAATAAATGTCATACGAATTTTTCTTACAAACTATGAGGGAGCTGAGGAACATTTTGAGAAGTTACAAAATCTAGAAAACATTGTTCGAAAAATGAAACAAAAACGAGACAGACCTGCATAAATGGTTATTTTAAATAAAGTAAGATGTAATGTATGTATGTACACTTAGAGGAAATTTGTAAACAGCTTTATTTTAAATTAAAAAAATTTCTAAAAATCTAACTTTCTTTAATTCTTTACTAATTCTGTTAAAATTTATTGACTTTAATGAATCTGTTAAAATGTCACCCCAATTATAAGGTCACTTTTTCAATGTCCCTTAGGGTGACCTTATATCGAGGTCTGACTGTATATACCTCAATCGCCTCAATAAAAGGCTTAAAAAAATAAAAACTTAAAATCCCTGGTTTGATAGACATTCTTCTACATTTTTTTCTTATTACATTTTTTTCTTATAACATGCTGTGCTAAAAACTAAACTCTTCGCTTGCTTTCAAATTTTAAGTATATTTCTGGGTTCCATGTCCAAAAGCATATTTTTCTTTATGTGTGATTTTCATTAAAAAAAAGGATGGAACTTGTGTTCCCATTTTCTTTTCCCACAAAAAATGGTATTTCTGAATATACCCATATAGTATATTGAAATTGTTATTTTTCTTGTAAAAAAATTGGAATGGTTAATTAAATAAATTTCTGAAACATTTAAATCTTTTACTGTGCATAAATGTAAGGTTTATTTTTATTAAAATCATTTATCCTAGTGTTCTTCTCTTTTACATAGTCTGTTGAACCAGAAACTATTTCTTCAGCCCCTAAAACAAAAAATTGTGAAGTTAGTGCTACAGAAAACATTACTACTGAATGTCATAATAGGATGATATTTCCTCTCCAAAATCTGAACACAGGAGATTCTTCAGTAATTTACCAAAGGTATACTTTAAATATATGAGTTATGCTATAAAATTTTATCTTTAATTTAAGTCCTTTAATAGTTTTTCAGTGATGTCTAATATTTAAATCAAGTTTGTTTTTTAATTCTTGAAATCAGTATGTACTGATTACTTTTCTCTTATATCTCTGATCTAAAATTAAATTTGATCAGAAAAATTTTATGTGAATATTTTTGTTTAAACCAAAGAGGATTTACTTTGAATTCTTGTGTACATTATGCTGAACAGAAGAAGAGAAATATATTTTTTCCATGCACACAAACATTCATTGTTTGTCCTTGCTTAACATGGTTGAGATGGTTAACATGGTTGTCATTGCTTAGCATGGTTAGTTGAGAGAAAACTTCAATATTTCTTTCATAATCTTGAAGATCTTTAGGTTGCGAGGTGGTAGGGAAGGGCTATGTGTGTTATTTTCCATTTTCTGTGGTGTGTCTGAAAGAATTGGTGGTTTTCTGATAAGATTCCGTCAATCAAAGATAAAAAAGCTGATTTTGTTTTTTCTTTGATTTATGAGGGGGAATGCATTGCACATGTATATCAGTGAACAGAAGCTGAAAGAGAAGTAAAAATAAAAATATATCCCTACACTTGATTAAGAAGAAGTAAAAATGATCAAAATATGGCTATTTTTTATTCAGTAATGAAGCAGAAATATAGTCAAGCTGAATTTTATCATTTAAAAAGTAATCAGAATTCAGTAAATTATAGCTCAAAACACACTTGACTGTTCCAGTGGGGGGAAAATTAAAAAACCATCAAGTTTTGCCTGAACTATTACTAAATTCATAGTTTTGAAATAAAACAAATACATTTTTATTACTGATATAAATTAAGTAATTTTGAAGAGAGTTATAAAACATCTGTTTGAATCCAAATTGAGTAGTTAATTTTTTTAAAGCATTATTTAAACAAGCAGATTAAATAAGAAAAACATTGGTAACATTCAATTAAAAACGCAACAAAGTTATACCACTCTTTATAAGAACATGTTTTAAAAAATAATAAATAAGATTCTTTTTCTTAAATCAGATCCTGTTAAATTTACCATCTTGAATGTAAATTGGGAAACCGAACTACAAAATCATCTGAAAGTAAAATGATGAGTTTGTTCTCTCTAGGTATTGTCAGAGAAAATGAGATTTTTTAAAAAAAAAAAAGTCAAGTAGAGATGCAATTTTACCCCAAAACCCGGCATTGTCACAGAATTCAACACTAATCAAATTGCGGGATTTCACTCTTCAGCTTTTAATATCATAATTTGCACTTGGGCAATAGAGGATTAAAATATCTGATTTTTTTTTCTGCCAGACTGTTATTAGGTTCACCCACAAGATTTTTCTATGTATTATTCTTAATTGTTTCTGGAGTGTTTAATGTCTAAAATCTTGAACCCATTGCTCAGTCTGAAATGTCACAAAAGTACGTGTAAATAGGATTCTTTACTCACATACTTACATTGTTGCACATTTTTATCTATTTTTACATCTCTGAAACAAATTATACCGATACTATTTCTAGGTTTTAACTTTTTTATTATGATTTTTATTGCATTTCTTTAAAGATCTGTAAACTTTATATTTGTGGCTAAAAGAAGTCTATTTAGACAAAGAACTACACATTTTTGTTTTGAAATTCGAAAGGTATAAAACTTTTTAAGGAAATACATTTAATATTTTTGGTTTTCATTTTATTAACTGAACTTTTTTATGAATTCATTCTTTACAAATAATATCATTACAGGTTACATTTTCACCCTGCTGCCTTTTTTGCCATGGGATCACCAATTTCAATGTTTTTAGCTATTCGAGGTTTTGACACAATCAGTGAAAAGTTTAGCTTCCCAACTTGCCCTGCATTTTTTCACATATTTCATCCGGTAAATTTAATTAAAATTTTAATTTTGTTTTTGTTTTTTTTTATCTTTACTGGTAAGGTAGCAATTTAAATTTTTTATTGTCTTAGTATTGTAGAAAGTCTTTACAATACAGACCTTGAAATGTGAGACTTTGCAATAATAAGATTTGGTATTACATAGATCATTTCGCATATCGTTAAACTTGTATATTAAACATGGTAATCTGTGTCTGGAGCAGATAAATATTAATGCTTTTAAATAATTTTTAATTAAAAATGCTTCAAAACACAAAAATACTTATTGCATTCAGGAAAAAAATTTAAATTATCAAGAGTATTTGAAAAAAAAATCAACAAATTTATTTATTTTGGTGTGTTTTAGAGATTGTAAAGTTATTATTGTTTACGGAGAATTGTTGTTTATGGAATTGTGTTATATAGATCTTCTACTACTTACTTTTTTACAGATGCTTGAAATTTTGCTGAACCTTTTGAAAATGGGTTAAATTTATCTAGCTATTAATTTATAAAATTTCTTATTTAATCACATGTTTAGAAGGAAGGAAACATTGGGGTCACTTGTAAACACAACTTGCATGATGGCAACTAATGTTGATACACAGTAAATTTTGAAACATAGTTGCATAAGATGGCACACTTTAAGGAGATGCTTAAAGAGACTCCTAGAGCAATGGGATCTTCCTTGTGGTTTTTATAAGGATCAAATAAATTGTAAGGGCAAAAGCAATGGTTCTTATGACTATTGCATATCTTTAAAAAATCAGCAAATGACAAAGTGCAGAATGATCAATTTTCTAAGAAGGAAAAACTTTCAGAAATAGAAAAACCTGCAAAAATATTTGAATTTAGGTAGTTGTTTAAATAGTTCTTCAAAAACTTCTGAATAACAAATCAGAAGTAAAAAAACCTGCAAAGAAATTAAAAGTAGGTAATTCTACAACAAATTCTTCTGAACAGCAATCAACTTTTAACAGGGAAGAACAAATGCAGCTATTTCTTTCATCAAATATCAGTAAAGCTTCTACTTATTTTTAAATTATATTATTGCTGTTTTTGAAAAAAACTTAATTTTTTTAAATCTAGTGATCCAAACATTCTTTGTTATTGGATTTATCGAAAGACTGTTTCAAAATTTACACGACCAAATGTTATTAAAGGTTCCTCCTGTTATCTAAATTAAAATAATATTGTTATATAAAGATGACAGTTCAAAGTTGCATGAACAGGTAGTTCATATATTAATAAAAAATACCCCCTAGAATTATACGATAGCGTTTCCGGTTATGCGTTGCTATGCAATTCTAAATCTTCAATCTTATCTACCTTCCTCATTTCATTTAATTGCTATCCTAAAACACCCTGTATATCTTATTTCATACAAAAAGTAAAAAAACATTGACTTTTGTCCTTAAGGTTATATTTTTATTTCTTTTAAGTGAGTTTTAATTGCTCTTTTAAGTGAAAAATATTATCCTGAATTTTGCATATAAGTACGATTTGTACTTTTTTGAATTAATTTCCTTTTAAAATAGCACTTGATTTACTTTAAATTAAATTTATTAAAAAATATATTTTAAAATATAGGATTGAATATGTTTTTGCAATCTTGAGATTCTTTTTTACTTTTTTTGTGTCTATTTTTCCTTTCTCAAATCATTTCATCAAATCAATCATATGTAATAACTAATAACTTTACTTGTGTTGTACTTTCATTTGACATAGTTTAAACAGTTGTTGATTTTTTTTATAAATTATTTTATTAAATGATAGAAACATCAAAAAATAAGTTGCTTGTTTTTATGATGAAAATTTTTATGTAACTAAATAGAAATAGCTCTTTCCTGCATTAATTGTTAATTTTTTTCTTTTTCATGTAACTTACCTTTTAAAGTATGATCCTGTAGTAAGTATTTTACTATTTTCTATCTATGTTCTGTAAAATATTTGTTTTTTAATTAATTATCTTAATTTAAATAGGCATTTCGAATTGAACCAATGATTGATCATGGTTTCAAGGAGAAGCCTGCTCTGATACCTCACCATAAAGGACGGAAACGGATGCATTTGGGTATAGTTTGAGATAAGATTTATAATTGTTGAAATAATTTTTTTTTATAGAGATATTTTTTTTCTAACTACATTAAATTATTTTATAGATGGTGCTAAAAAATTCATTTGAATCTTGTCTATTTTATGTTCTTGTCTATCTTAAATTCTAAATATTTTCTATTTTTTTATCTTATTGGCATATTTTTGTTAATTATCATTAAAATATGTTAAGAATAGACCCCATTATGAAAGTTATCCATCTAGTTTCTTCGTAAGATCTTACCAATAGAAGCTGTAGAATTGCTTTTTTTTAAAAATGAAATCTTGTCTTTGATAAAGTGTGGTTGATTTTAGATTGTGATGATGTGAATGTTCTCATCAAATTTTTAAATTTTTTACTTTAAACATAAATAAACTAACAAATAACTAATTAGGTGTTTATTGGAAAATTTTAACTTTTTTAAACACTGTTATTAGTTTTAAATATTGATAATTTTGTGAGTATATGATAAGGTCGACAATAAATAAAATTATACATACAACAGTATCTTAAAATAAGAGTGAGCATCACACATATTCCAGCAATATTCCCAAAATATATAATTTTATACTTACTATCTACACAGTGAAAATTAAGTAATCTGATTCTTTTAAGTATGTGACAAACTGGCGGAAAATAAAATATCTTGCTGACTAAGAAATAGTGGATTCAAACTTATTTTTGATAATATAAGCCTTCAGGATTAAACCAGAGTTTCATTTAAGTTATAGAATAGCTTCTGGGCAATTCTATTAAAAGTATACCGAAATTTCAAACTTTAGAAAACTCAACATATTTTATGTAATTTTAAAGCTAAAAAATTTTATTTTAATGTTGTACAACTTCATTTTTATTAGCATTTAATTAATACCTCCGTTTTTGACTAAGAACTCAGAATTTTTCATTTCTTCAAGAATTATGTGGAATAAAGATCTCATTTAAGTAATCTTTTAATATTTAATAAAATATTTTCCTTGTTTAACCTATTTTGATTATGTTTGGTAACATTATACTACAGTTATGTCCAGAAAAATTAATTCTTAAAAGAAATAAATTTGGTAATTTTAGAATTTCAATTGGCAAATTTTTGTTATGTCCATAACAAATATTAAGCAAAAGTAAATTTTTTGTTAAAATGCAGCAATATGTTTTAAAATCTTTTCTGGTCTTTTTACCATTAAATGCCATGAACAATTTTAAAGCATGCAATTTTTTAACAAGTCAAAAGCATGTAATTTCTTAAAAAATTGAGCATGTAAATGTGTTATGAACATAACATATCTACACTGATCATAAATTAAGGAAAAATTACAAAAATAGCTATAACTCTTGCAAAAATAAACCGTTCTCAATGAAATTCAAAAATTTTGACAAATAAGAGTTTCTAGTAAAACAGTAATATACAAATTAGTGGTGCTGCAATAGAGTGATGTTATCTGCAATGAGCATAAAATTGTGTGTATGATCGCAGACCTACAAATTTCAAATGTGTTTCAAGAATTAGAAATTGGAGATAGCCAATTTGTAACAATGACCTCCAGGCATCATTTATCAAAATCACGGCGATGGAGATCTATAAGAAGACTAGAGGCAGAGTAAAGTCAAATTAAATTGGCCAGAAAGCTAAATGTGAGTCCTTTTGTGGTTCATAGACCTGAGCAACAATTTCTAACCATAGGTTCAGCATCCAGAAGGTTCAGATAAGGACGATCAAATGCTACAAAGAGCGCTAATAACTCATCCTCTCTTAGTGCAGACACTGGAAGATTGGTGTTAATGTCTACTGTGCATAGAAGGCTTCACCAATGTGATTTGTTTGTTAGGCGAATAGCCATTTGCGTGCCACTCATCTCACGCCATGGAAGAGAACATTTGAGGTGGGCATGAGAACATGTTCACTGGGCGGCTGTCCAATGGAGAAATGTTCTCTTCACAGATAAGTCCATATTTAGCCTCTAAAGCAATAGTAGGAGTTGTTTGTTTGGGAAGAACATGGTACCCAATGTCAAAAATCCAGGAAAAAGATGCAGACCATTAAGGTTGTGTCTGTGTGTAGGGTAGTATTTCGTTGAGTGGGTGCACGAACTTGCATGTCTTTCCACTGGGAGCCGTGAAGCTCACATATGTAGATATGACACCCTTATGCTTGTGTATGATAACGCAACAGTGCTCAGATCAAACAATTTAGTGCATGGAATGTCCATCTAGATCATTGGACTTTAATCCTATTAAGCATGTTTGGGATGCTTTAGGAGGATGTGTAGCTACTCTCGATCCTCCTCCTCAACCAAATTTCAAATGTATCTGTTTTCATAATACTTAAACATTACTATAAAAAATTTTCCAATATTATATCTTATTAAGTTTTATTAATGAGCATATATCTGTCAACCCCCATTTTCTAAAATTCTGAGGATTTATTACAAGGTTGCAGTATAAATTACACACTGCAGTAGTTAAGAATCAAAAAAAAAAAAAATCATGACAAACATTATTTCACGACATAATTATTTATTTTAAAACTAAGCAAAATATAAAAATAAACTTCACTGAATTATAAAAGCAATATATTCTTCCCATCATTGTTTAATATAAATGTATCGTTAATCTTTCGGTAAAATGCAAGTTAATAACATATTTGTTATTAAATAATTTTTATTCTTTATTATAAAAAGCAACAGTTGAATCTATAAAAACATAACAGCTTTTATTTTATGATTATTAAGTAAAAAAAATATCCTAGTCTTTATAGCCATTTATAGCAGTTTTATTCTTTCAATTGTTAGTTTTTGTTTACTTGCAACTATATTTCTGAGCGATAAACCAGGGAATCTTTAAATGCTTTTTTGAAATATTTTATTAAAATCAGCAATAATTAATAACGTGTATATGATATAAACACACACAGTAAAGCTGAATCACACAGGTATGCTCCTTTCTTCAAACTTCTACATACATAACAACAAATAAGTGGACTTTTAGCCCCAACAGATTTAAAGTGCACCTTGCAGCATATACACAACAGTTGTTTTGTTTTCTGTCAGGACCAAACTTCACCCTCCGGTTATTTTGCCAGAGTTTGTCATTTTCCATTTGCAGTGTCCTGCAGCCAATCTCAAAATTGAATTTTTCCTTTCTGGTAGATTAGCTGTTTAATCCAGCAGACAAAGCTAAAATTATACAAGAATAAACATTAAACTTTGCATTGAAAACACTGAATTTAAAACTATTAAGCATGGAATATTTGTTTTAAACTTTCATTATTTAATTTGGAAATGTCTTTAGGAAATTTTGATATCCTTTGTAGTAAAATTCGATTAATTAGATTTCGGTATCCGTACGTGCACCAAAAAATCTCGGTATTGCCACACGAGAATCAAAAAACATTTCATTTATAACTGCTCTCATGTAAAAAATTTATTCTTTCCTTTAAAAAAAAAAAAGATTCTAGTACAAAACCCTTAAGCTCTTTTTATAAGAAGTGAACATTCAAGAATATATTGATATAAAAATATCTCAAATTCAATACCTTTTATTTATTTTATTTTTTTTAAGATAAAGCATTATGACACTTAAGTATCAAAATATTTTTGTACATTGCATAAACTCATTGAGCCAACAAGAAATGTTTAAATTTTTTTAAGCTTCCTGAATAAAAATTTTAACTCCTTTTCATCACTGCTCTTCTCTCAACGCAAACACACTTTGAATGGACCATATTGTTTTTTAATCAAACATTTGCTATCATTTGCGAATCAATATAAATCATGATGTATCAAAACAATGCAAATCAGTCTACAATGTTTAACTCATTATTTTACAATATTTTGAATAGAAAATTTTAATCAAGTAACAATAGTGTTCGTCTTATGAATAAAATTTCAAACATACTAAAATGTAATGGTTTTAAATGAAAAATAGCAGAGTAATTAATTATTATTTTAACATGGCAAACTTGTTTACTGAAATTTTTTTTTTATCTTCATCATTGTTGCAGAGAAATTGTGTTGGATGATAATAGCTAAGTAAAAAATTGCTTTTACGAGCATATTCTTAACTAACTACGAAACTTATTATTTAAAGTTAGACAATACATTTTAACAGAGAAGTCAACCACTATGTACAACCTACTCATTGTGAATAATGAGCACAATCGTAATATTTACTGACTATATTAGATACACAATCTTTAAATTACTTCTTGAATGTTTTAATTAAATGGTCCAGATTATTAAGTACACTGACTGTTTCTAAATAATCATTCTTTGAAGTGATATTACTAGAAATGATACTACTTTTCTAGCTGACTTTTAACTAAAGGAAAAACGCTATCTCTAATACTACTTTAATGTTTTATGTATATATCATTGAAATTTATAAAGTTTGCAACAAAAAAAAAACTAAAATTATAAATGCCTTTGAAGTTGAAGCAATTCATTTTAACTGCCAACCACGAACAATATGGTGATGCAAACAATCATTAAGAAGTTAAACTCAATATTTAAAAAAGTTTACCAGTTTTTTTATCGTTTGCATGCCGAATTTACTTTCACTAATATTCTCTTGCGTTTTCTGGCATAAAATTGCATTGACCAAAAATGATATTTTAAGTAATATTTAATTTCTTTTCTTTATAAAATTTTTTTTATTAATAATATGGAATACCCGTTCACAGAAAGTGGCGCTGGGCCAATAATAATGAAATAGATAATAATTTTGAAAGTCTGAATGTTGGATCAGATACTATTTAATCTTATATAATATTACCTCTAATATTAGAAACTAGGATTCAGGACACGGCAGTATTATATTGCTTTATTTTACAACTCTTACTCCACTTAGTAAGAATATTTCACTTAATTGTCAGATTTCTTTTAATAAAAGTTTTTTGTTTTCTTAAACCCATAAAAAATTAATATATTTCATTTTTTAAATTATGCACTTATTTTTTCAGAAATAAAAGAAAATGTTACTAAGTTTGCAAATGAATTACGTCAGAAAGTCATGGATACACTTCATAAGACATGGCATTCTTTTAATGAACTTACTGGACTTCAACCTTTTCCACAAGCTATTTTGGAACAAGAAGTTAATTCAATGGTGTCACAAGAAATTCCTGAAATTGCAACATATGATGGTACTATCCGTCACTTTCAATATCTTTTAATGCGACAATTTATAAAATCGGATTTGGATTCTTAATAAAATGTAAATTTCAAATATTTATATCAGTAAAAATCCCTTTTTTTTTTGTTGTTGTCCCGCAGTGGACTGATCGTTAAGATACGGTTCCCAGCAGATCACCGAAGTCAAGCATCACAGGCTGCGGTCACGTGTTGCAAAGATAGTCACATGATACATGAACGATTTTTCCTCGAGTCAGCCTTATTCCCATCCTTTTACTAAGTAAGTGGATTGCTGAGATATGTTTAAAATTATAAAATGGTAGCAGACTGCTGTGCTTCTGGAGGTGGATAATTATT